AACTTTTAATAACTTCATTAATTTAGATAGCAATGTGGTAATAATTTCTCCGTATTTGAAAAGAAAACTTAAGTGAAACTTTTTTTTTGTCTTTTTTTTTAAGTTACATACTACATATCTGAGGCTGAATTATAAAAAACACCCCGAGCTATAACTCCATTATTTTAAAGATATGACAAAACTTCTTATAACAAAGTTACAAAGTTTATTGTCATCTATTTATACTGATCGAACGTCTTTCCCAACTTTGATCAAAGAATTATTTTTTATTATTTTTTAAAATAATGAAGTAGTTATGGCTTGGGGCGTTTTTTATAACCAAACCTGTATAATTAAATCATTACCTAATACGGAAAGAGCTCCACATGTTTGATTTAGGTTTAGATTAGCTAGGTACACTTCAAATGGTTTCTGTGTCGAATTTTTAATCTAATTTGATTACAGTAAACTGCAGAAGTAATGTTTTGCAACACTGAGCTAAAAAAATACAGATGTGATAACCTAATGTTCTACATAAGTATGTTTAGAATTTGTATGTAGTTCTGTGTTTACTATGACATAATTTAAAATTTAAAGATTTGTTTCGTATTATATTTTTGATAAAATTTACTTATCATGTACTCATATTTGTTACATTTTTATTTTTTATTCACTACATTATAATGTACAATATCTATTTTTTCGAAAATTTAAAATTCTTTGTTGTCAAATAAAATATGTGTATTTTGGCACCAAATAAATTATATTCCAACCTTAAAAATTAACGTCAAACTTTGGGGTATAAGTTTCAAATTATTTATTAACATTTCTGCAAGCAAATACTCGTAAGATTACTAAAAGTAAAGCTATATTTTTCCCAAAAAAAAAAAAAACTAAGAAAATTTTCAAACGTTGGCTTAGATCCTCTTTCATTAAGTTTGAGGCTAGAAATTTACTAAATCATTGAAATACATATACTGATTTCTTCCGAGTGATAACTTGTTAAGACAAGCAAAATATGATTTTAGTTTACATTTGCTTTCAGCGTTGATAACAAGTTTTTTGTGGTTTCTCAATATTAATTTTGATCTGTTCTATTACCTTTCTGATTGCAAGTATTACAAAAAGCCTTTGGTAAAGAAAAATTACAAAATTGTAAATCGGTAATGGTTTACTAATTAATTTGTTTTGAAAAATTAGTTCTGATTATTTTCTACAAGATTATTAAAAAAAATATTAAACAAATTCTATACCTAGAAACGATAAGAGTCCAACAGTATAAAAACAATAATATAAATTTACTTAAGACGAGCTCTTGTTGAGTTTGCTGTTAACAGTCAACTTTTATTGGTTTTGCTGAATTAATTTAGTTAAATGTTGCAAATGATGTATTTATTGAAAGTTGTAATAGTATTATTGCTGGCAATTTCTAATACATTAGGAAGAACTGTGGTAAGAAAAATTGCTTTTGATGTAATATGGTATTTATTATTATATTCTTAGATTGTATCAGATACTAGTGGCCAAAAAACTTACTACAATTCAGTCATAACTCCTGTGCGTTGTTCTCCTACGCATGAGATGACAAAATATGGTTGCAAAGAAATTGGTTACCTTGAAAATCCATCACCAATCCCAAACTCTTTAAAAATTGTATCAGTCAAAACAAAATAATTATTATATTTTATAATTGCATTTTTTTTTAATTTTTTTTATGATAATTGTGTTAAAATACAAATAATTTTATTTTGTTAAATGAAGATACGTATCAAAAATTACTACTTAGAATTAGATGTTGAGTTATAATACTTTAGGTGTGTATGAACATACAAAAATATTTGTAAAAATATTTAGTAAATTAATTCTTCTAAAATCATGTTTTTATTTTTTGTTGTTGTTTCTAATTGTTAATGTAACTCAAATAACGTTTACATAACGAATAGTAAACAAAAATTAAACAATCTTTTACTTCACCTCAGTGTACTAAATTATTTAAAACGAACTGTTATTAAGTAACGATGTTTGAATTCACCATAATTTTATTAGAAATTATATTTTTCTTACTGTTTTTAATAAAAATAGCCAACTTAGAATTACAGTCATTACGTTTTACAAACTTATTCTTTGTAAACGAGGGTTCATTTTAATAAACAAAAAATGTAGGCTAATATTTAAAATTTTATGATTTTTTTATCTTTATTATTTACCCCGCAATTATAATATTTTTAATTCAAAATTTCGTTCTCATAAAAAATAGGTTTTATATATCTATAGTAATCTCAAGTTTCTAATTATCACTGTTTTCAACTCAACTTATATTTAAATCACGTACACTTAACAAAATTAAACAATTTGATAACCTACTATACTGCAGTGTACTGAAATTCTTTGAAACGACGCAATTATTGAGTGATGTTGTTCAAAATCTTCATAATTTTATTAACAACTTTATTTTTCGTTTCATTTTTGGTAAAAATCAACATACGGGGGTATTGATTTTATTTTAGAGTTTTAGCTTTCTTCAAATAATATGACTATTGATGTTAAAAATATGAATAGACGCATTTTAGTTGCTCCTTGTCAACCAGGATATGTTCGTAAAAACAAAGTTTGTAGGCCATTATGGTCTTCTTGAATCATGTAAGTGATTTTTCTACAAATAATAACTACAAATACCTCATCTATTAAAAACATTGCAGTTAAAATGTGAACTCTTTCTACAATTGTTAAGAAACTTTAAAAGATTGCGCATAGTCAACGATAACCTTTATTCTGTATTCATTTATTTCTTACATTTCTTAATTTATAAGTTTAGAAACATCAGTCTGTGAAATGTCGCTTAAAGCTACTTTAATAAAAGTTTCTCTACTTCTTGCAGTGCTGCGCTTTGTGGTAATACTCTAATTTTAATAATTAAAAAAGTTTTTGATCGACTTTTGTGCAGCATTGTTTACCCCTAAATCCCGTACTCGAAGGCGTTCTAAATGACGGTGTAATTAGTTCATCTATCGGTTGTAGACCTGATTATGTCTACGTGCGTGGACTTTGCAAAGAACGAGCGAAAAATGTGAGTTGATCAATAGATATCTAACGACTTGTCAACAAGAAATTATGTTTTAGGTTCAAGGCCAGGCAGATAAAAAGCACACGGTCAGTGTAATTAGTAAAAGTGTTAATTAGCTACATTATTTCCTTAAAAAAATGTGTTTTCAAATATTGCATTTGCAAATTTGCAAAATTTGTGTCATTGCCAGTGGTATTATTACTAAAATTGTACAATTTTATCTATTATTACTCTCAAACTTTCCCCAACTTTAACCCAAAATCAAATTACTACCCATGTGATAACATTTTAATGCTAGAGGACGCATTTTAAACTGTTGAAATAATTATTGCAAATCTAGCGTAATCTATTTATCAACATTATTGCAATTTGCAAGTACTAATGCGTAATTTTAACACATTTATTGAAACAACAAATTTTATTATTTACGAACACAAAGTGACCACTACAATTTTAATTTCATTGTAGTTTTGCATCAAATGAATAATACAACCGCATATTGAATTAAAATTCATTGTTCGTATTAGTTTCGAATAAGTAGGTATTACGACTTTTTTCATTTGCTATTGTTTCATTGAGTATTTCAGTTGATTATGGAATCTAAATATTTATTTTAAATCTTCTTGGTGAACGAGTCTTGTAACTAAAATATGAAAATCTAAATTAAATGTTTTTTTTTTTCTTTAAACAACAAAAACTAAAAAATTAAAAAAAATCTTTTGGTCATGATTGAACAGTTAGCTAACTTTTAGCGCCATAAAAAAATGAGTAAAATTAGAATAAAATTTGAAGTGTTTATTTTTCTCAGTTGAATGTAAAATGAGCTACGATAGTCTCTATTGCATGAGAGGACATGAAACCTGTGGAACCGAAATATTCAGGAAGGCTTTTAAAAAAGTCGTTTTCATAAATTAAAGCTGAAATCTCTCGCCAAGACTCTTGGGTCAAGCGCTAAATTTCCATCGGCGAATCGAGTTAAACATCGACACAAATAGGAATTTGCAGTAAATTATGTCCCCGAGATTGGCAACCCCCAAGGAGATAATCCAATACAAATTCATATCACAAAATAATCCGGTCTCTACATGCACGTTGGAACAAGTTTTTTAATGAGTTTTCGAGGGTAAACGAGGATTCAATCAGCGTAAAAACGGCCAAAATGAAACGTGTGCAGATCGATCGGCTGTGACACTTGGCAGCAGATTGGATGCTGTTGATGATGGATGTTTGTTCGCTCATAATTTTGTAATACTCAGAATAATGGTCGGAAAAATCACCTCTTAAAAATGCACGAACCGAGTAAGTAGCTGCGATGAAATAGGAACGCTTGTCGGTAAAGAGCAAGTTTTAATTAAAATGGTATTACGCAGCCGCTTTTTACATCTCCAGGGATTATGAAAAATATGAACGCTGATATAAAACAAAATATGAAGCAAGAGATTTATTGATATTTTTTACAACATTTAACACAGTCAAACTAATTTCGGTTTCTCATCATCCTGCCTTTTGAGTTCTACGCATTTCCGCGTTTTTACTGCCTCCTCGCAAGCTGATGTTATTCGCGTCACAGCGAGAATATCATTGCTATCAACCCAAATCTTTGTTTTACCTGAAACAAGACGAACTCAGTACAAGTTTGAAAATTAAAGGGGACAAATGAAATGCACAGTAGCTATATTATTTAAACGACAAGTATTTTTGATCAGTAAAAATAATAAATGCACAGTAAAGACAATGAATGAATGTCTAGCAAAACTAATTAATTTAATGTTCACACATTTACAAACAAAATGTTAATATGGCAAAGCGTTTAAAAACAAAATTGTGGTTTCAGGAGCACAGCAGGGCAAAGAGTGGCGTACTTTGATTACACTGATTACCATTTGTGCACAGTTTCCAGCCCTTGCTAAAATCATTCTTGCGCAGGGGCCATATACCACCCTCCAATAATAATAAATATTTAGTAATATAAAAATAAGTACCAATAATAAATAACATTCTTGCGCAGGGGCCATAACTTGTTATGTAACCAAGACTGAAATTTTTTTAAATTTTATGTCATTTTACTAATTTTGATTAAAGTTACTGAGCGTTTATGATTTTTACTGTACAAATTGGATTTTTTTACTGAACAAATTATATATAACAAAATACTGTGGGTGCTTTACTTAGCATTCATTATTTTTACTGTGCAAAATATTATATTATACTAATCACTTTTAATTTTTTACTGTGCAAAAATTAATTAAATACATTTATCATTTTATACATATCAAAATTGAATTATTTACTGATCGCTTTATTACCACCTAAAATTACAGCCTATGTTTTTTGTAAACAAATGCTGCGTATATTTGGTTGCCTGTATTGCATCAAATAAAAACGAACTAAACAGTTTTTCCATTTTTATTTAAAAGCGCCTGTGTTATTTATCCCGCAGAGCAATTTTAAGTGAAAATAAGCTTTGACATCAAAAGGAGGCAATATGCGTGTTTATTCGAAACCGATTTAGGTAAAATAAGATATTTACCTTCCAAAACATCCAAGAAATGCCTCATTTCCATCTCATAACCATCGGCATAACGCGAGGAAAAGGAGTAAGCAAGAGGCCTTGCTGGCGCTCTTTTCAGTGTAAGTTTCCACGTTGTGAATTGGCAGCTGATTTTCAGCTTTAATCATTCCTTTTTGTCCAAAGACTTCCACTCTTTGATCATAACCGTAAATGCTGTGGCGGCTTAGATCTATAATACCGAGAGCTCCACTGTCGAACGATAACATGATTTCGACGGTATCATAATCATTGATTTCGTGAATTTCTGATATGTTGGCTTTCGCCATGACCATAACTTTCGTCGGGTATTCCCCCAAGATGTATAAAGTCATGTCGATGTCGTGAAAAATGCCACCGGATATTTTTAAATATTCGATGGAAGGCAAAGCAGAATCGCGACTGCAAACTTTTACGGTTGAAACTTTACCGATTTCACCCTTGCGAACTCTCTCTAATAGCAGCAAAGGAAGGATCAAAACGCCTAAAAGTTGGTACTTGAAGTACACATTTCCAAAAAGTAATAATTACAAACTTGTTAAATGCGCAAAACAGAGGCTGGTTCACTTTTTTTGCTAAATCACACAAAGCCTTGATTTTATCGTGTTATTCAGCTACAGGTTTCTCACAAAAAACTGCTTTATCATGATTTAAAGCTTTTGTTACTATCTCTTCGTGAGTATATGTCCGTGAAGCAAGCACAACAGCTCGGACACTAAAAAACCTCTTTGTTAAAGTTTTACACGATTTATGAAAATTACTTTGGGTCTTCATAAACAAATTTGGATTCTGCATTCGACAAAAATCGAACCGATTCAAGATTCCAGTATTTTTTCAGTTTCTTCCATTTTGATCATCGTCTACTATATAAAGCAATTTTGCTCTAGATTCTCTAACCAAGAAGGCTAAATGTATAGTTCCAGCTCTTTCAACACCAAAGGGAGCAAATCCGAATTGTGGATGGTCAGTTTGATCTAATTTTAAATGCTCCTGATACCTGAAAAGTTTAAGATGTTTCCTCAAAATTCTCAAAAACTTAGTTACTTTTTGTATTTAATATCTTCATCAGGGGTTGAAGGAGTTTTAATTGAGTAGGGTGAAGGCTATTTAAACTTTAAAATCGCCATTTTAAGAAACTAATAAAACATGTGGCTAAAATGATTTATATAACATTTAATCTAAAGGTCACAACCGGTCATTGCCAAACCTTATCTCGAAGGTAATAACATTTACAATGAAAAGAGTTAAAATTCTTTAAACACAAAATTTCGATTTTAATAAATAACGAAAGCGATAAAACTGGAAAACTGAAATTATGACAATTTCCATAAATGATAACACGACTCTCATCGTATAAAACTAAGAATCAAATAAATTATTAATCAAATTTCCTTTAATGGTTCTCGTGGGTGCAATCAAAAGTACAATATAAAACCGCAAAGCTTTCATAAAATTGGTAACCATGTTCTTGCCTATCTTTATAAATTTCTTAAACTTTGTCGGGCTTCCTTTACAAAAGCCGAAGACAAAGCTTTATTCCGTATATATTTTTTCAGTCAGTGCACTTTATGTTACTTTAACTGGGATTTCACTGTATTCAACTTTAGTAATACGTTTTCTTGCCTCAAAGACACTAAATGCGTTTTTTTACATTCTAATTTATGTTGTTATAAATATAATTGATTTGTTGGCTACCCTGCAGAATGGATATTTTAAACGCTATAGCATCGATAAATTGTTAATCACAATGGAGGATCTTCTTGGGTTTGTTAATCGGAATGTTGGTCGTCAAACTGAAAGAAAATTGATCAGAATGCAAAAATTTGACTTCATTTTAATTCAGATGACAATGATTCCTTGGTTGATTTTTATGACGTACTGGGTGGGTCACTTAGTGACTTTTAAAAAGTTCATGGTATTTGGTATGGTCTACTATAACCATTATCTTACGGCAATGGAGGTAATGAAGATATTTATGATACTTCAGCTACTTAAACACTTGATGTGCGAACATAATCGCCAACTTTTTAAAACGTTGTCTACAAAACAGGTCTTGTCAGAAAAAGAGCTTCATTCATTTTTAAAACACTATGACAAATTAATTGATTGTGTCGGATTATTTAACGAATCTTTTGGTCTACAAATTTTGGGGACTTCAATTGTGACTCCATTGATAATGGTCCAAGGAATATTCTTCAGCTTATCTCAAGTATCCTTTCCTTCAGTTATTCGCACTGTTGTTGTAAACGTAGCTACACTCACAAAATTTACTCTTTTTTTGGTAAAACGTACACGAATAGAAGAATTTAGTAGTAATTGAAGCAATTTTAGGTGTTGAGTTTTATGATAGCTGCACCGTCACAAAGAATTGCAAGAGAATTTCAAAATACACAGAGAATTTGTAACACTTTCAGATCAAACACAAAGCATAATAAAGAAGTGCAGAGAATGCTTCAACTTCTCAGTTTACAATTGCAAAACAGGAAAACGTGTATCTCTGCGGCTGGATTTTTTGATGCTGATTACACCATGATTCTTAATATGTTGGTGTCAACGGTTAGTTATGTTATAGTGTTTTTGCAAATTAACGCCAAGATACCTAATTAATGAACATAAGTATTTCAAAATCAAGCACACAAACCGAAAATAAACTACTTGCCAAACACCACGAGTATTATACACACTTAAGTTTTTGATGATTGCAAGTCTACTTTGTCACCAACCGTTTTAAATCAGGTTGTTGTTCAAACCCCGATTTTACTGAATATCGGTAAATTATATAGAAAAACGCAGTAGACCTTTTTTTCTATGAAAAACTATGAAATTTAGAACTTTGTCGATGAAAGTAACAAAAAACCACAGGCAAAATAGTTAGAATACTTTTACCCCAAACCCACCCAGTTTAGGAAACCCCTAATTAAATTTTTTTACATTTTATCTTTGTACTAGATTAGGTGTATAAAGGTTATCATCTGTACCCAATTTGAAATTTTTGTTTTGAAACGGTTGTGAAAATATTGGAAAAAACCTATTAAAAGACGCACCCTTGTTCATAGGAAACTTTTGTCTTAAAATTGAATATTCTATCTCCTGTTTAAATTTATTACAATAAAAACGGAACATCCTAAACCCAGAATTTTTTTATGTTTAATTATTAGGACCTCTTATTTCAATTTAAAATAAAAACGTGTGCTTAAAGATGAGCAATGCTTTTCAATCCGCCTTCTTTCATTGCATTTTCATGGACCAACAAGACCACCCCACCTGAAATAAAATCCTAGTTACTTTGATTTAAAATTAAGAATTTAAATTTTGCAAACGCAATAAAAGTCAAGTTATCTGTGAGAATATATTTTGGGTTGCTTCTGAAAATCGGTTAGGGTCTTTATTATAAATGACTTACCCAGTATGTCGCAACATTTAGTTTTAGAAATAAAATACAAAATATTATTTTAAGTGTGAATTATAAATTCTTTGATAACATTGTCTAAAAGTGATAAAAAAGTGTACTTAAACATGTTGCCATTAAAGAAAAGTTGTATTTTTTACAACACAAATTTTTTTATTGCGTCAAGTACTTAAGTAGTAAGTATAAGTTTAGTTTTTTACCTGCGAGTATATTTCTAAGAAATTTTATTCCTTAAAAATTTACTTTCCTAAAGCTTATCATCCACCAGTTAAAAATAATGTATGCTTTGTTGATTAAATTATTAAAACAAGTCTTTCGTTTAGCAGTTTGTTGATATCGATGTGTATATTGTTTCACGGTTAACTTTTTCTTATTATTTTTTTAACCTACCTATGTTTACTTTGTTCTTAATTAAGTTTTAAGTTCGTCGAAAAGGTAATCCTTTCTAAAGGTTCTCCTGAAATTTAAGGCAAATTTCTTACAAAGATGTCTTTCTTCTAATAAACATTAATTTATAATACTCGATTTATACTTGCCTGTTCAAAACATTTAAAAACTTAATAGTCAATACCAACACAATCACTAACCACAGCAAGTTGTAGAGATTAAATAATTAATTCAACTCAAAAGACTAATTTATTAATGGAATTTTCTAGTACAACAATTGATTCTTTAATGTTTTTCTTTTTAAATGTGGCTAATTCCTATTTTGTATCAGAGAACGAATAGATTGTATAGATCATTTTAGAAATGAGGGAATAGACAGCGCATGTCTTGTTCGACTCATCTATTGATCTCCTTGAACCTGATCCTGGAGTGTTTATTATTGTTCACATGGTACAAATTACGTTTAAGTGTAATACTGCAAAAACATTTCAAAATAAAATCCAGTTAGAAAAAGAGACGAGATTCTTTGTGAGTTAATTTCAATCGTGCCTCTTGAAAAACTCATAGAATTCCAGAGATCTACGTGAAATCTGTGCGCTTAGCAACAAAACGAGCTCGTTCTTGCGCTTCAAACACTATCAGTTTCAATATTTTCCGCCGCTGATTAGATACATGATTATCCTTTCACAAACAAGTTCAGGAAACGAAAAAATCTTGATAAGCTTTTGAGGTTAGTAGAGTATGTACTCCATTTCCGAGCTTTACCCGTCGTGTAAACAAAGTTGTGAAAACAGTTTTCCGACTAATAAATTGATGTTTCTCCATCGATCAAGAATTATTTTATTCATTTGAACATCTATTTTGCACCCTTTGACAGGTCAAACCACCAGTGTTTCATGTAGTTTCTAACTGAATTTGTCTTGAATTAAGCGAAATAATTGCGCTTGGCAGGAAATTACATGTTCGTGTGTGTTTCAGGACTAGTGAAGACCTTTCATCTGTTATACCTTGTTTCATATTATCTTACGCATTCTGAATTCAGAACTTCTAGGACTAATATCACGTCTAAATTTATTGTAAAAACAAATAAACTTCAAAGGAAGTTAATTAGCTTCGCTATGGAGGCGTCGAGATAAAGCGAGTACACACGACGCCTGTGACGTCTTATCTTGATGTATTTCTTACTTTATCAGAGAAAAATTTTTCGTCTCGATACTTTTTGCAGCAATTAATTAAAAGCTTTAACATATTTATGTGTCGCAAGGTATGGCTTTTAGCAATAAATCAAAACTTAAGCAATTACGTTTTAACTGTCAGAAGTACACAGCAAGTTCCAGTAAAGAAAATAAATTTTACATTACTCTACACGAGAATGTCTACGGACTAAATTAAGATTAATGATTTTCCACGTGTTGTTAGTCTATTGCTGTAAGCTCCATTGAGACGCCATTTATCATACCGTGCTGATATATGCATTGTGCTTTACATACACAGAGTATTTACTATTCAAATTTTCAAGTTACGACAACTGCAGTAATATTACTATGTAACTAACTACTGCTGCCAACAACGATAAGAAAAAACCATAATCCAATCCGAAATATCCAGAAGCTGACACAAAATGTGGCCACGTTTTCAACTTTAATAACAACAGATTCAACTGCTTTTGCTTTCCACCTCTTAAATTTATTTCAACTAAACCATTTAAAACAATTTTGGATGTTTTATATTTATTATCGGATATCTGGTAACCAATTTTTGATAAAAGCAATGACAAAACCTACAAGAAATAATAAATATATTTCGTTAAAAAATAATAGTAAAATAATGTAACACCTACCAAATAAATCGCTATGATTTGGGATATGATCAACACCTTACAAGAAAAATTGTAACCCAATTTAAATTCTTGCACCAAATTTAACAGATTGTCTATTAAAACAACCATAATGTGTAGAAATATTTGTAGTAAAAAAATTCCATAAATGTTGTTCCATAATTCAAGTATGCGGTACAGTTTCCCATAAAGTTGATTGATTGTTTTCATTTGTGTATTACTAACGAATATCTCACTTTTCAAAAGCGTATTTAAAAAATTGTTAGCTTGGTCAAAATATTTTGATAGTAATGCTAGAAATTTCAAAGATGTTAGTAAAATTATCAATAACTGCACCATTTCCACGTCATCCAACAAATTTTGAATTAAACAATCAGATTCATACGCTATATGAAAAATAAAACTTGGCACAATAGCGAAAAGTACAAAAATTAAATCCAAGTAAGTCAAACAAGACCATTTTTTTTTCAACTTCGGTAACATGGCTTCTGCGTCTTTGAAACTTGGAATGAGTTGTGCTACATTTTTCTTTTTCAAAACCATAAAATTTAAAATTGTTGACACGACAATGATCATTTTAAAGAAGTAGTTTAGAGTCTTAATTAGCTGTCTGCTGATATGTCGGGAGTTTGGGCACCACCACCAAATATTATAAATAATAAAAAGAAATGTTGAAAAGTGTACGAAAAGTAAGAGTTTGCAATATATTGAGTAAAACTTGTGTCTTGTTTGAGAAAAAGATGCTCCAATCAATTTATTTACGAAACAAAACGCTTCCAAAGTGGAATGTAAGCTACACGATGACATTGTCAACTCTGCAAACAATGTTTAAGGAAATTTTAAGTCGATTTCCCTCGGGCATTACGTACCGGATTTGTTTGGTCATTTCATTCATCATTTTACATGTCTTTCGACTCCTCCTATTTTTCATTAATTTACAAAAGTGCTTTTTCATGAATCTGCATAATTCTTCTTTAATTACCGATCGAAACAGTGTCAGCTTTATTTAATCAAAATTAAAAATTTTAATGAGGATACCTATTTGGTTTTGCTGTTAACTTACGCGTCGAACCGGCTAATAGCATAAGCTTAAACTAGTACGCTGAAATTAAATCAGAATTGTGAGTTTGTGGATGTACAGGTTCAATAGTTAATTAAATCCAACTTCCGATCGGTTTGGAATAGTTCTGTGAAACGTGAAATATTTAACAAATTTCGAGTTGATGATGTGGAAACGACATAAATGCACTTGACAAAACTTTCTCGTTTAGAATTCAGAAATATGGAAGGACTTGTGACTATGACGCATGTCTAAATGTTAGATGTAGGTTCGTAAACCTTTATCTTCAGTATTGGCTTTGAATTATGTCATGCGGAAAATAGGAATTTTAAAAGTTATTCAAAGTATCATCCGGGAACTACGAAACAGCATAAAAATTGCAAAAGGAACATTGTCTTGGATTTGGAAGTGTTAAAGCTGCAACATTTTACGAGGCCTTTACTAGAGACTTTTGGAATCCATTTTAAAACAATGTCATAAAATGTTGCAATTTAGCACGTTTTCGAAAAATAAAACATTCTTTGTGCAATTATCAGCAACGCAAAATAAACGAAATACAAATCGTTGCATTTATTTATCAATTTGTGTGCGCAGCGTGCAGAAAAATTTAGTTCAGTTCACAAATATTCAAGTTTTGAAACGATAATTGGTATCAATTTTCCGGGAAAGCTTGCATCTGTATACTACTTCGGAGAGTGTCGTGCTACCCATTTGCAACGAATGCGAAAGATAAAAGTTCTGACACAATTCGAGAAAACCAAGCAAAGCTTTTACTTATTACATCTGCTTTTCCTGAGGAGATATAAAAGGGTCGAATCACAAAGAAACACCGGATTGAACAGGAAAATTGTTAAAACCTGCATCATGCTTATACCTTTTCAGTTAGCTGCTTCAAAGAGCCAAACATTAAAATT